TGGCCACAGAGGATATGGACCAGACCTGCCGCAAAGACAACGGCACTGATATCTGCAGTAACAACGGGGACTGTGTGTGCGGCACATGTGAGTGCAAGACGAGGGATAACCCAGAGGAGAGGTACAGCGGCCAGTATTGTGAATGTGACAACTTTAACTGTGACCGCTCAGGAAACAAGCTGTGTGGTGGTGAGTATGTCAGAATAAAAGACAACTGAAAGATATTTGTTACTATATAGGTTTTTATAATTTACCGTTCTTTCATCACAATTAGTGGCCATCGTTAAAAAAATTCAAGATTTGAAGGTGTGATTGTCTTTGGTTTTCAGGGCATGGACGCTGTGAGTGCAGAGTGTGTGTATGTGACCCCATGTGGACTGGAAGTGCCTGTGATTGTTCTTTGGACACTTCCACATGTCTGGCAAGCAACAAGCAGATCTGTAATGGTAGAGGAACTTGTGAATGTGGCACTTGCAAATGCACAGACCCCAAATTCCAGGGCCCCACGTGTGAAGCCTGCCCTACCTGTCCGGGAGTTTGTACTGAGCATAAGTAAGAAATCAAATCAGAAATAAAAAAACACAGATAGAAATATATTCCACCAAATAAATGTAAAGCTCATTATTAACTCCAATAACACAATCAAATCCAATTTGATGACACTCATTGTCCTCAGAGATTGTGTCGAGTGCCGGGCATTTGGAACAGGTGAGAAGAAAGAGACATGCATGGAAGAATGCAACTACTTCACAATGATAAAAGTGAAAGACAGGGACAAGCTACCCCAGCCCAACACCATGGCTTACCCTGTGATGCTCTGCAAGGAGAGAGATGCCAACGACTGCTGGTTCTACTACACCTATGCCATTAACAACAACACAGAAAAGGAGGTCCATGTGGTTGAAAAACCAGGTAAACAATTAATTGGGCTGGTATAAATTTTGAAGTTGAAGACTTTCTTATTTATAAAAAACTGGGTAATTTTTTTATCCACATGGTAATAAAATCTGCACCCTACTCTGTTTCAGACTGCCTCTCTGGTCCTGACATCATTCCCATTGTGGCAGGCGTGGTCGCTGGCATTGTCCTGATTGGCTTGGCCCTGCTACTGATCTGGAAGCTTTTGATGATCATTCATGACAGAAGGGAGTTTGCTAAGTTTGAGAAAGAGAAGATGAACGCCAAATGGGATACGGTGAGTGTTTGGAACACTGAGTATCAGCTCAAGATGAACAGGACAGAATTGGATCTTTGGCTGTTGTTCTTTGCAGCTGAGGAGATTTGATACATGTCGATATACAAGGAGTTTTGCTTAAATTATCTGCTTTGTCATAGCTGTGAAGGCAGATATACTTATCTGTTGATTTTCAACAGTGCTCAAAATGAAAAGGAAAAATGTTGAGCATCTGTGAACATTTTTGGAAATGGTATGTACTCTGAGCATAACAAGCCCTTTTCCTGGGAGTGGCCACAGATCATCCCCCTCCCCGTTTTCTGCCATGTGTCATCATCAGCCAATATCAATGTGCCAGTTTGTTTTCAGATTCTTACATGCAGTCAAATCCCTCCATCTAGTGGTAGGGCTTATAGAGAAGGTTTGATGTTGCACATGTCCCCAATTTCTAGTATTTTTTCTATGGGCAGAGCAACCCGTGGCTTCAGATCACTTAAATAAAATAAAAAGAGAGACATTTATTGAAAAAGATTAAAATTGACTGTCTGACACTCCTAATTCCTTCCCTTAATTCCCTAATCTTTTGTCTGAGCAGAGTAATTTGGTTTGTTCAAAGACTTTTAATGTATTTATTTTTTTAAAGTCCTCTATGAGTTATGACATTTCACAGAAGAATTTGTAAATTTGTTTTGAAAAAAAGTGACAGCAGGGGCTTCTCCTAAGAATGTGCGCTTACTTTGAAAAAAAAGCTTTCAGTCCAGTACATAATGTAATCATGTGTAATGTGCACATGATTCTTATTTTGAACAGTTCTGATTCTTTTACTTATTTTCATTCTTTCACCATCCTGACTGGCCTTCATACTTTGAGTTTATCCTGCTTATTTCCTCTTTTTTTATGTGCCAATGCTCCTTATTCCTCTGAATTGCTGTCTTCATTCTCTACCTGTAGCAAGACAACCCCATTTACAAGAGTCCAATCAATCAGTTCCAGAATCCAAACTATGGACGTAAAGCTGCTGTCCTTTAAGTTTGTATTTCTGTTCCTTGCACCTTTCTGCATGGCCTGTTTGTGTTTCATGAGTTCACTACCTCTTCCCCTTATTTCAAATGAATCTCTTTATGTAGTCAAACCAGCAAACACATTATAGAGTAGGAAGAATGATATTCCCAATGTCCTTGAAGACGTCTGCATGAGTGTGCTGTGAAGAACAATGCGGCAGACAACTCATAGACTTCTACAGTGTTTGTGGGTGTTAAGTGTAATTAGAAGGAACACAAAAACAGAACTTTGCCATGTAAGTATATTATGATGGTAAATATGGAGACATAACCGGCTCATCACACAAGCATGGCTTGGGAAGTGTGATCAGAAAACATGACACGAATATCAAGTGATGACCTATTTTATTTCTTTAATGACTAATATATAAGTGTGAATTTTCATGTAATTTTTCCATATGTATTAACATGCCAAACAGAAACGTACTTTTCTATAGTGATTGAGCCAAATTAGGACATTTTATTATAATTTTGTAACTTTCATATCTTTTGTACTTTCAGGGTGAAAATCCAATATACAAAAGTGCTGTGACAACTGTGGTGAATCCCAAATATGAGGGCAAATAATGGCTTCCTAGATATGGCTCATATCAAATATCTGCAGTATTTACTGTTGGTTTGGAATTTGATGGGAGCACACAGTGGAAAGTGTGTGCATTTGACTTGATGCTTCATCATTTTAATGTATTATTTGGCCACTTTGTTGTTACTTTTTACTAACAGATTTGATTTCTATGCATTTGTTTTATTTTAGATGTACAGTATACAGTTTATGTATATACTTTGCATATTTGCAGTAGTTGATACAGGTGCAGGTTTTTTTCTCTGCCAATGGACTGATACAGGCAGAAAATTTAGCTTTTTTCAAATTTCCATCAACACAACATGGATACTTTTAAATAGACAAAATATGCAAAAAGCTTATTCTTTTGCTGTCTTACTCTGAATCCCTGTTTGTCTATTTTTGTGCTCCAATAATATATGTGCGCCCCATACAAAACCTCATTATAATGTTACTGGTCAACTGTAGCTGCACATCTGATCAGTGTGTGTTTTGAAAGACACAACAGAAATAGGAACTTCTGAGCATTTAACTGAAATCTGACAGCTATTGTAAACACCAGCTTATTATACAATGGTTGTAAATGTAATTTTGAAATATAAAAATGCCAGTGTTTGAAGATTGATTTGCATACCTAATGAGCACTATTGTCTATTTTGAAGGAATGAAAACACAAGATAATATCAATAATCAATTATCTTTAATATCTCTATACGATTAAAAGGGATTTTATACCACTGGTTAAGATAATCAAATTCATGGTACTACGATAAATGTTGCGGTGAGGTAAAAAGATAGTTTGTGCATTTGCTTTTTTCTCAGGTCACATCCTCCGTTCTTTTGTGTGTGTTGTCAAGTGCAAAGTGTGTTTTCTGTCGGTTTGTTCAGTGACTGTGTAAACTCATATATGTGGGTTTATGTCTTTTCATATTATTTTAGACTGTAACGTTTAATCACAATTATTTGTTGAGATGTGACATGAATCATGTTTGAAATGTGCTCACACCCAACTGCCTCTGAAATATCACATGCAAGCTTTTCACTGTTATGGTGTAAGTGCCTTTTATTTCATTACAGTTCTCTCTTCAAATGCTGTTCATGAGATATTTATTAAAATAGAAAACAAAAACCTTCTGTCTGCTTCATCCAGCATGTGACTAAAAGTTGTTTATGCATTTTTCCCCCCTAAGTTTCATTTGGAATTACCAGCAATCTTTCCAAAAAACTTAAGAATGACTAGTACTATAGTTCTCCAAGAAGTGTGGACTAAAAATAATGCATGCTTTGTGAAATATATATGAAAAGAATATAAATGTTTAAAATATTATGCTTGCAGCCTTTTAAGAAATGTCAAAAGGGCTTGAAATGTATAAATGTAAAGATCTTTTTTAAAAATATTACATTTCTCAAAAAGAAAACAGAGATAATGATCTCAGAATTGCTAAACTTAACTCCTTAACACATTTACTTGATTAAATGTAAAAATGTTTTTGAAAATTATTTTAAAAATGCGAATTTAGATTTTGTAGAGGAAATGTGAATAAAACCGATTCTAAGAGACTCTTATAGCACAATAAATCGGTTTGGAAAATATCTGATGGCTCAAAATTTTAGCTCTTGATCAGCACTGCTTGTTAAAGTTAGGAGATTAAATGAAAACCAGTTTCGGTGGAAATGGTCTGACATTTACAAACATAAGACAAATAACATTTTCCATTTTTTAATTGTATTCATATTTTATATAGCCTTATCTGAATACCAGCATTCATTAGCATTGTATTCAATAGGGCTTTATTTTAATTTTCCTTTTGAAATTTTGAAGCACATGTTATGTGAATGTTCACTTTGGTTTTCTGAACCTGGAAAAGAATAAATGTATTATGTGTGACAAAAGCTTGAGCACTTACAGACACATGGGGGTTTGCTATGCAATATACGAATTTGATTTTTCCAATATAAATTAAGGATTGCCATCCATTTTTCATTTTAGAATAACCCATACATATTATCTTTATTTCTACAGATTTAAAAAATGTATGTCCCAAAGTTTCTGAACAGTCCTGACACAGTGAAATGCGTGTAAAAGTGATAGTCAAACTAATGAAGTTACATGATTACACACAATTAATAATAGATTTGTGTACGGTTTTGTTAGGTTATCAGTCATATATTCAACGTGTCGCTTATTCCAACCGGAAGTACAAGCAAGTCATGCAGGATATGGTTGGAGTGAGACGTCTTTCTGACAAGCTGTCAAAGTATTTGTAATGCAAGCTTTAAATAAGGACGCAAGTAGTACAACGTCACCCCTTACAGTTAGTTGAAGCCGTTTATCGAAAGAGATACATCTTACGGAAAGAGAAAATGGAAGATGACATACTAACGACGCTGAAAATATTGATAATCGGAGAAAGTGGGGTTGGGAAATCCAGGTAAACTGAAGCTTTCTCTGAGAAATGGATGTCGATACTAATTGCTAACGTTAGCTTGGTAGCTTTAGCTTTGTGGCGACACGGAAAATGAGGACGATGTAACAAGTCCCTTTTCAGAATAACGAATAACGCTTGTCCTTGTCACTTTGAAGGTATTACCACATTCGTAGGTCACGATAAGCAAATTGAGATATTTCAATCACTAGTTTTGTAGCTAACAGTAGCAAGCTATGTGACATCATCTTTGTTCAGGCATGGTGCAGATGGCTATAGACATTGCAATCAAGATAACATTTATGCCTGTTCTTAACTGGAACTAATGCCAATTTTTAAACCGGCTAATGGACTCAAGAATAACGGCGGGGTGACATCTTCCACTTTACCATTACGATAATCACAGGTTCCACCAAAATTATCTTGGTATTCAAAGACGATCCGTCTACCAAAGTAGTTATTTTCTTTTACCCCTTTTTCTTGTTCCATTTGTTAATTTTATGGTTTGTGCCACTGACGAGAGAATTCAGTTTTGCCTTTCTTCATAGCAATCGTCCAATCTGGAAAAATCGCCATTACTAGCCTTGGCTGTCAACCGTCTCGTGGTAAACTATGATCGCACCATGTCTTCTAAAGCTACTAAGCCAATGGTAAAGAGTTTTTTACAAGTCAGCGTCTCCCCAAGAAAAACATTTCACTTTGAACCAGACGTCCTCAACTACTTGACAGAATTCCAGTTTGAAGTAAAGAAAGTGCTATTAGAAAAGGATTACACGTGGAATTGATATCATGATATTCTTCTGTTTATTCCAGAGCTAATTGATGCAGTATCAATGTTGAGATCCTGTTGCTGTGTTTTCATCCCATATTCTTCGGTTTGATTTCTTCTTACTTTAAGCTGAATTAGTTCTATAAATATGTTTACATTAAAAGCAAGCTTTTTTCGCCAAGCACAATTTTAGCTGATTCTGATTCTATAACAGGCTTATATTAAGTTTGCTTATATTTGATTTTACATTTAAAATCAACACATGGCCATCTTCACTGTGTGCAGTACGCTGATTCATTATTCAGATTTAGTCTGTTGTTCTAGAAAGCAGTTTAGTCTTATTAGTGTTTATAGTATTGCTTTATTGTTGTATAGCTTTTTTACAATGAACAGCACCAGAATATGTTGTCTGCTAAACAAAAAGGATGATTTTTTTTGCTTGCCTTTAAGAAAACAGATTAATTTTACCTGAACAAATGGTACACAAAATAGTTCCTTGGCTGCATAGGCACTCAAACGATAAACACACGCTTTCTTTCAATAGTTTTAAAGTAATGAGCTCATCCCCCTTATCTATACTGTGACTGGAGACTTGATTTGTCACCGTTAAGAGTTGAACCCTGTCTCTCTTACTGCAGGGTAGTAGTGATATCTGAAGCTTTTACATGTAATGCAAGTGGCTGACAATGTGATCAATAGAAAGGTATAGAGATTGGACAAACCTGGTTCTGCAGAGTAAGATTCAAGAGTCTAACTATATAACTGGCCTCAGATACACATCTTTTACACTAAGAAAAATATGATGCTCAATTGTATTTGTTTCCTGTTAATATTATTTGCTTTTTTTTCCCCCTTCAGCCTTCTTTTGAGATTCACAGATGACACATTTGACCCAGAACAGTCTGCTACAATAGGTGAGTAAATTAAATGAAGATTGTTCTGAAAATCCATTATGTTTGTCGGGCAATTGTTGCTGTAAATAAGTCTTAACTTGCCACTGTTCAACTGTGAATCAAAATCCATTAAATCACAAGACTTTTTATATTTTCGCCAGTCACCAGCCTTGCTTCATGTTTACAGGACAATATTTTGTGCTAGTAATTTAGAGTATATGTTAGGAGTCGAAGATGAGCTGTAAAAGTACCACAGAGATTTAGATTGATTTTAAACTTGATAAAAAATGTGAAAGAAAAATTGTTCCATAGGCTAATGCATTAGTTTGTAAAGCACTCATAACTCACGTCCCATCTTTGTGAAAACAATCGAAGCACGGTATCCAAGAAAAGGAAACAACGAAAACACTTTTTGTCAAGGTCTAGCAGTAATTGCTACTGTTTTACTTGGCAAATAGTTTCTTTGCCAAACATATGTTTTTCATTTAGTCATCTCCAGCTTTTGCCTCAAGTTTCTATGATTTTATTTTTATGTTGAGTTCAATAATTGTAACAATGTCTTCTTCAGTTTTTAGTTTTTATGTGATTACCTTATTCTGTTTATGTCAGAAGACAAATGGTTTGTTTACAAGTCTACCATCAATGAATTGGCCTATAGATATCAACACAGTCTACTTTCAGTGATTGTGGAATCTTAATTTACTGTGTGTGCCACGAGAAAGACGTGTACATTTATGGTGAATTACAGTAGCAAAGAATGGTCCAGGTTCTGGGAAATGTTTTTTCAATTCATTTTCACATGTGCCTGGTTAGCAGATTCTGAGCAAAGCTGTTGGACCTGAGAAAGACCCACTTATTGTAATTAACTGTGTGAACAGACTGTATGTTTTTGTTTAAGGCACACATTCTATAATTTATGTACCCTTCAGCCTTTCTGAATGCCCCCTGTTCCATCCTTTCTTGTCCTTCCTTTGTTTTGCCATGAATTGAACTCCCCTCCCTTATCCAAATGGTTAAAAAAGCCATATCAAGTGTGTAATGACCTGGTAAACCTGTGAGTGATGTTTTTCATCCAAACTGTGTGCACTCTCCATACTGGGGCACTGCACAAAATTAATAGAAGTGGTTTGCTTTTTTGGTAAAAGAGACACAGTAAACACTTTTATTAATATGTAAATGTAAGGTCCATTGGATTCTTGGAGGGATTGGTTTTAAGTGAATTTTTCCTCTGAGCTTTTTGGCAGGTAAAGTACTTTCTGTACTGACCTTTTTATTGGTTTTAGTTTAGACATCAAGTAGACATGAACTCAAACTGCCCCCTTGCCATGGATATGAATGCGTAATCAAAGAATAATGTACTAAAAGACATGGATTGGGCATTATGCCAGTCTGAATGGCTATGGTTAACAGAAGTTCAGAGACATTGTGTGGTAAACTATGTTTTGACAATTCATCATCAATAATTATAGTGTCAGCATGATATAATATTCTTGGCAGAAATTGACCAAACCTGAAAGAGTCATCATACTGGAACTGTAGCTGAATGAGGTAATCATGTCCGTTTGAGTGACTGGGTGTCTTTTCATTGTCCAGGTGTTGACTTCAAAGTCAAGACCATTTCTGTGGATGGCAACAGGGCAAAGTTGGCAATATGGGTAAGTTTAAAGGCTCATTTATCTTTCCAGTAACACTTATTCAAACAAAAACAGGCAGCAACTGTCTGTTTGTCAGTATAGAAAGATTCAGTGTTAGACTCATCACTGACTCCTATCTGGCTACTCTTTCAACACGCCAGAAGATGGCGCTTATGTATCACTATTTCTACCCTTATGCACCTCAAAGGAAATAGAAGATTCTCTCAATGTTTACCAGATCCATCTGTAGTTTTTCTTGTCACAAGAATGTGTGTTCAGTAATGATGCAGTATGTTTTTGCAGGACACAGCTGGACAAGAACGCTTTAGAACCCTAACGCCGAGTTACTACCGTGGTGCCCAGGGTGTGATTCTGGGTAAATTTGTCACATTGATAAGATTTTTTGTATGTGTGTGTGTGTGTATATAAGTGTCTGTGTATATGTGTATACATAAATATATATACTCATATTTATAATGTACACTTTCTTTGCTATGCGACAGTGTACGATGTCACACGACGTGAAACTTTTACCAAACTTGACAACTGGCTCAGTGAGTTGGAAACGTATTGCACAAGAAATGACCTCGTCAAAATGCTGATAGGAAACAAAATTGATAAGGTTGGTGGCTTTAAATTATATGTGTGTCCTCTCAGGTTTTTAAGTTCAACAGTACGATTTTATTAATCAGATAAATTATGTTTTAATTTGTTAGGGGCTTATTGTGTTGATTTTTATCTACTGATTTTATTTCTAAGGTTTGAAGAACGATAATATTGTCTAAGCTAATAACACTCAAAAAATTAATTCATTACCACTAAGAGACTGAAAAATGGTACTTTCGATATGCTTTACCAGAATGATTAAGTTGATGGAAATACACTGAATTATGTAATGTGAATAGATTATATACTTTCTTTTGTGTGTTTTTTTTTTTTACCGTAAAAGTCACCATTCTCTCCGTGCTTCGATGGACACTAGCTGGCATCTCTGCCTAGCAGATCTCAAACAAGCCTTTACCTTCATTGTTTTAGGAAAACCATGAGGTAGACAGGGCTGAAGGGCTGAAGTTTGCAAGAAAACATTCCATGCTTTTTATAGGTAAGTCAGCATTCCCTATTCTGTGGAGGCAGATATTAACACAAGGGAAATGTTTTTTTCCCTTGTGCTTTTGAATATTGCCAGGGTTTCAAAAATCTTTGCTTTAATTTTTTGCAGCTCAATTTATTTTTTACTTATTTTCAATTTCTTTTTAAATATATTTATGGACTTTTTCCCCCCTTTTCCTCAATCTCATCTTGTCGCTTCGCTCAGATTTGCACGATTTTTGTATTAATTTTTTCCCCATCTCTGCTCTTTTTTTCATCCAGAGGCGAGTGCAAAGACAAAAGATGGTGTTCAATGTGCATTTGAGGAACTAGTTGAAAAGATCATCCAGACTCCTGGCTTGTGGCAGAGTGAGAGCCATGGCCGAGCAGTCCAGCTCACGGACGAAGATGCCGGAGGTGGAACCTGCAGTGGCTACTGCTCCATATTTTAAACAACTACACACATGTTCAAAGAACTGCAGTTGAGGTCTGCTGCAACTCTTCCTCCTGTAAACACACACTTTTTTTTTTTTTTTTCAAGGAATAACACTTTCCCTTGCGTTTTGTCCTCAGCTCAGGTTCCTTATTAGACAAAGAGGCCATGGAGGTATGACTGAGCTGAAAAGGTTGATAATTCATACGCTTTGTGCTCACAAAGACTAGTTTGCACATTTTGTCACAGGAGCACTTTGCTTAAATACAAATTCAGCTCAACATTCATTTTAACAGAAATTCAGTGTTTTTTCTCTTCTGCATTTTGTTTTGCAGTTTAATGAAATGTCATGACCTTAGTCAAAACTTTAACCATTCACATTTGAAAATGAGCTGTGCAGTTAGTTTGAGCTTAAGCTTAAACCAAAGTTTTTCAGAAATAGACCTAAGTTTCTAAATGACAATGTGAATGGAAAAAAATTTGATTAAAGGTTATTTGCATCTCTTGCATATTTTACTTTGTTCCTGGAGTGTTGCATTCACAACATACTCCTGAGGCAGAGCAGACTTCTGTTGTCTTTTCTCTGCTTTGTGCATCATCTCTCCTTCCCTGCACAGACTGACTATTATGCTGCTTATGGAGAGGCTTATCATGCCAAGCCACGCTGTGTTCTCTCTACTTTTAGTCATAGACTTGGATCATGTGTTTCTGTTGTCCACACAACTGCCTCATTTCTTTCCAAGTGTTTGGAGCAACATCGTATTTCTTTTATTGACTTGGACTTAGAACCTTTGCTAAGGAGTGTATAAATCAAAGAGACTGGCACCAGATGGCTTTTCACTGGCTGCTGAAATGGAGAGAGCCTTCTAAGATTGCACGCTGTTTTTTGGAACAAGTTTATGTACTGGAGTGTGACTAACTGGCACTTGTTCACTCAGAGTGATAATATCAGTAATATCACTAGCTATGTTAAAATAACTTGTGTGGTTAGTTTTGACTGGTCATAGACAAAGGAAATGTGTTCAATATTAAATAAAGCACTGAGTAATCAGGGTGTCTCAAGAGGTTTAGGAAAATCAAAGGAAAGGCTTGATTCTCCTTGCTGATGGATTTCACAGTGCTACCTTTTATGTATTAGTATCTGAGAAAAACGTTAAAGTATTCTGTACGCCAAACTTCTGACTTTCATTGCAGTATTTTAGTGCTGGTATAGGCTCCAGGTTTGATCTCCTATTAAAACAAAAGTGCAAGTGACATGGATTAATGCATGTCTTACTACTTGTTTCTAAAGCTTGTTTTAATTGCATGTAAAATGTGCCATCATTCAGTTTTTGTTTTAGCCTGTTGACCCTCGTATAAAAAGATTACCTTTTAGATACCTTGTTGAAATAAAATGATCACATGTACAATAACTATTTTAATTTGATAATATAAAAGAACAAAATAGAAGTAAGCTTTTACATATTTAAATCAATATTACTGCAAGAAATACATTGGGACGTGTACCTTGTAAATTGTTTATTTTATGAATTTGTTGGTATAATTCCTGTATGAATTGTAAAGCTGACTGTATACATAATTCACCACAAACAGCCTGATATGTTAAACTAAATAAAATTCTTTTTTAAGTGACTAGAGCTAAATATTTTGGTGTTAATACAGACTCAACAGCTGCTGTTATTTGTCATTTGAAGAGCTCTGTTGTATATAGAAGAATACAACATAAATTATTTGCAGAGATTGTGCAGTCTCTGTTGCCATATTGGAAATGTCACTATTAGGTGATGGGTTTTTCACTCAGCACTCTCTACATTCCTCTGTCCTCAGAAAAAGACTTCTATTTAAGCAGTGTCTGAGGAACCTTCAGTGCCCAGATGTGATCTGTCTAAATCATCTTATTGGCAAACCTCTCAGGAAACGCCACCAGTCATAACTCACTCTATTAGTGCTTTAACTGGGATGTGCATCATTCCTAGGTAATTATTAAAGGGCTGGTTTTGGCAACAAGACCTAGAAGTCTTCCTTTGTAGCATATCTCTCATCTCTTGCCTCAGTCTGGGCAACTGTCTGGAAATATGTCTCAGTCAAACAACAACGGAGGCATACAGCGCGATGCCTTCATGCGGTCAGTTAGTGTGCTGAGCTGCAGCACTGCTATGTCTTTATGCCTGTACCAGAAATGTAGTGGCAAATGTCTTTATGCAAACATTTGATAATATCTCTCTATATATGTAATAGATTTTAACTACTAAACAATGGATTTTTCCTAAAAGATCAATATTGATATTGGCTAGATTATTTATTTTCAATTTATTAAATTTTTTGTTTTACGGAATCCTCTGGTGAAAGGAGTTAAAATAATGGTTTTCTTATCCCTCGGAACTCTAGTAACTCCAGTAACAGTTTATCTATAAAGTCCATTTATGGACAGTTTTCGTTCCACTAAGGCCAAACATGTGAATCCAGAAGCTGAGGCATCTAGACTGGAGTTCATAAACACGGTCAGACATTGTTGTAGCACGTGTCTAATGTTTTACTCAAACATAATCTGTGGTAAGCACACAGTTTTGTTTTTTTCAAGAGACCATAAACCAAAAGCTTAAGCCATTGCTTGAGGCAAAGTATCTTTGTAATCCATCTCCTTAAGCTACACGGATAGCACACACACAAACAGATAGAAGAAGAAAAAACATCAGCAAAGATTGACTGTTGCTAAGACTGAAGAGAGGACCAAATGCTCTTTGGCACCACAAGACGTTGTAACAAGGCTGACTTCCAGAATATTTGTGTTCTGCACCAGCCTGTTGCATGGAAAGCCTGAGAGCTGCTCTGTGGGGACAGTTTGATGGACTGCTCTTTGTACTGCTGTCTGAGTGAGAGCATGCATCCAGACCCTAAGCTAACCGAGCAGATCTGGCTCCCATTAACACAGCCGTGTCTCTCCATGCTCCTCTGCCTGCCGCAGCAGCAGGCCGTATGGATTAGTGTTCAGACGAGCCCCTCAGGAGAGCAGTCATGCTGTCATGTGTAAAAATGTTACGAGACATCGGGCATCGTTTCATAAGGTGTTGGGTTCCCAGACGTCACTCACTTTGTCATGCTCATTGCCGGCTTGCTGTCAGGTAATTGTTTTGCCATGCTGACTTATATTGGAGAAGAGAAAAGAGTTAGAGAGTGATTGGAAAGATTGTCCTCCAGCACAGCCACCTGAACGGAATATCGTATTGAAGATCTAAAATGTGTGCCATAAAGACAAATCTGTGACACTGACTCTGTGATGTGGCTGACAGTAAAAGGCGCAGCAGGCATTCCGTAAGTTCATTTGAGTTCAGCTCTCTTAGCCTTTTGGGCTGAACCTTTGGGATGTCTGAGTTTTCCTCCTGAACCTCCGGCCTCCATGACCC